CTCTATCTGGTGCTGTGTTCTCACTGGCTGTCACCTCCCGCAGCTGCTCCTGCCCCTGGCCTGTGGCCCACACAGAGAAGGCCCCTTTCTTTCTAATTAGCTGGGCGAGGTGGCGGGCGCCTATAGTCCCAGCTACTCGGGAGGCTGAGGCAGGAGAATGGCGTAAACCCGGAGGCGGAGCTTGCAGTGAGCTGACATCGCGCCATTGCACTCCAGCCTGGGCAACAGAGCAAGATCCCTTCTCAAAAAAAAATTAAAAAAATAAAAAGAAAAGAAATATTTTAGAATAAAACTTGGGAAAAATAAAGAGAGTGGGAGGAGAGAACTAGGAAGTCGTGAATACTGATACCTGTTTACAGAGTTTAGCTGTGAAGGGAAAGAAAGAAAGTCAGCCTAAGCTGGAGGGTGAGGTGAGGCCTCTGTAAAATGAAGAAATAAGGCTGGGCGTGGCAGCTCATGCCTGTAATGCCAGCATTTTGGGAGGCCAAGGTGGGTGGATCACTTGAGGCCAGGAGTTTGAGACCAGCCTGGACAACATAGTGAAACCTTGTCTCTACAAAAAATACAAAAACTAGCCTGTGGTGGTGCGTGCTTCTAGTCCAAGCTACTCGGGAGGCTGAGGCTAGAGGATCATGTGAGTCTGGGAAGTCAAGGCTGCAGTGAGCCATGATTGTGGCCACTGCACTCCTGTCTCAAGAGATAAGTAAAAGGATGGAGAAGCGGGCACGGGGGCTCACGCCTGTAATCCAGCACTTTGGGAGGCCGAGCAGCAGGGATCACGCGGTTCAGGGTTAAGACCACTCTGCCAACATAGTGGAAACCGTCTCTACTAAAGAATACAAATAGATGGCCGGGACGGTGTCACACCTGTAATCCCCAGCACTCTTGGGAGGCTGAGGCGCGGCGGATCACGGGTCCAGGAGATCCAGGCCTATCCTGGCGAACACGTGAGAACCCTGTCCTCTACTTAGAATACAAAAATTAGCCGGGCGGCGGTGCTCAAGCCTGTAATCCCAGCCACTTTGGGAGGCCGAGACGCGGTGGATCACGAGGTCAGGAGATCGAGACCATCCTGGCTAACATGGTGAAACCCCATCTCTACTGAAAAAAAAAAAAATACAAAAAATAGCTGGGCGAGGTGGGGGCGGCGCCTATAGTCCCAGTACTCGGGAGGCTGAGGCCAGGAGAATGGCGTAACCCGAGGCGGGAGCTTGCAGTGACTGAGATCCGGCCACTGCACTCCAGCCTGGGTGACAGAGCGAGGGAACCTCCGTTCTCAAAAAAAAAAAAAAAAATTAGCTGGGCTGGTGGCGGCGCGCGGCCGCCTGAGTCCCAGCTGCTCGGGAGGCCTGAGGCAGGGAAGAATGGCGTTTCTGGAGACGTCCGTCTCAAAAAAAAAAAAAAAATTTAGACAGGCGTGGTGGTATGTGCCTGTAATCCCAGCTACTGGGGAGGCTAAGGCAGGAGAATTGCGTGAACCCAGGAGGCAGAGGTTGCAGTGAGCCGAGATCAAGCCACTGCACTCCAGTCTGGGTGACAGAACGAGACTCTGTCTCAATAAAAAAAAGGTGGAGACAAAATAACCACGTGTTGGTGTGCCCATGGGGGAATGATCCAGCAGAGGGGAAACTTGATGATGTGGGAGACGGGGGACTGCTGGGGGGTGTCCCCTCACCCCGGATCCAGGGATGGATCCATTAGGGAGAGCTGGCCCAGGTTGGAGCAGGGCGGTTCATTCTAAGTCCCTGCAGCCCTGAGCCGGGGTCGGGGGATGTGGTGGAGCTCGTGGACCTCCTGAAGTCTTCTGTCCCCACCCCAGGTATGTCACCACGCAGACTGCCAGCAGCTGCACCGCCGGGGACCCCTCAACCTCTGCGAGGCCTGTGACAGCAAGTTCCACAGCGCCATGCATTATGATGGGCATGTCCGCTTTGACCTTCCCCCACAAGGTGAGCACAGGCAGGAGCCACAGCTCGGGCCCCCGGAGCTCCTGTGGCAGTGTTTCAGTAACCGTTGGAACCATGCTAGGGCATCCTAAGGACAAGTCGACTGTACATAATGAAACCCGAGTGTGTCACGGTTCCTTTTGTTCCACATGTTTTTTAGCAAGAGAAAAAGTCCATGACCCTTCCAGAGGCAGGCCTTTCTCTATCTGGTGCTGTGTTCTCACTGGCTCTCACCTCCCGCAGCTGCTCCTGCCCCTGGCCTGTGGCCCACACAGAGAAGGCCCCTTTCTTTCTAGTTCTGCCTGTCCTCAGGGCAGGGGACTTCTGGACAAGTCCTCCAAGCCAGGCTGTGGGCCTAGCAGAGGCAGTGTGGAGTGGGGTGGTCAGATCAGGAGGCACTTGTAGCAGGAAATAAGAAATTCCTCTTGCTGAGCAGGGACCCAGCTCAGGCCCACCGTCAACTGCCTCTGGAGGGCTGGCTTGCAGGCACCCAGGTCTGGTGAGAAATGCCAACCCCTGTGTCCTTTCCCAGCTGATCAGAGGAACAAAAGGATTCTTCTGGTTGGGCACGGTGGCTCATGTCTGGAATACAAAAAATACAAAAATTAGCCAGGTGTGGTGGCACCCGCTTGTGGTCCCAGCTCCTTGGAGGCTGAGGCGGAAGGATTGCTTGAACCCAGACAATGGAGGCTCCAGTGAGCCATGATCGTGCCACTGCACTCCAGCCTGAGCGATGGAGGGAGACCCTGTCTTAAAAAACAATAAACAAACAAAAGGATTCTCTCCCTCTGCCAGGGCCCCTTGGGAATTCAGGTGTGGTCACAGCATGGGGGAGGGGAGGCCTGGAAGAAAGACCCATGGACTTTGGTCCCTTCCCTAACAACCCCAGAGGCAGGACTTCCTTATCCTTATTTTATAGAAGGGTAAATTGAGGCCACAGGTGGGTTTGCTTTTGGGATGGAGCTTTACCATGGGTGTTATCCCAGGGCCTTTGTGTCCTTTTGGGTCTGTGGGGATAGATAGCAGTGACTGAGGCCACGTGAGGGGGCTCACACCTGTAACCCCAGCACTTTGGGAGGCTGAGGTGGGTGGATCACTTGAGGTCAGGAGTTTGAGGTCAGTCTGGCCAACATGTTGAAACCCTGTCACTACCAAAAATACAAAAAAATGAGCTGGGCATGGTGGTGCACGCCTGTAATCCCAGCTACTCGGGAGGCTGAAGCACGAGAATCGCTTGAACTCAGGAGGCGGGGATTGCAGTGAGCTGAGATCACGCCACTGCACTCCAGCCTGGGTGACAGAGTGAGACCCTGTCTCAAAACAAAAAACATTGGCTGAGCCCCTCTCCTCACAGAACTGAAGGGCCCTCGCTACCTTTCATCTGGGGGTTCCAGGGTAACACTGTGGTCCCTCTGGAGGCGGCCATGCTGTAGGCTAAGGAGGGGCGGAGAGGCACAACCCCCTCCCGCTTTCTCCCAAGGCTCTGTCCTTGCCCGGAACGTGTCCACCCGGTCATGCCCGCCACGCACCAGCCCCGCGGTGGACTTGGAGGAGGATGATGAAGAGAGCTCTGCGGATGGCAAAGGGTAGGTGAGGGGTGAGTGGGCAGAGAGATACCTGGGGGGCCCCAAGGCTGGGTCTCAGATCAGACATTCAGGACCAGATGCTTTGGTGCCCTCTCCGAGTAAGGCTGACGGGCAGACCTCTCCCCACCCCTGTGGCTGTCCTGACTACGGGAAGAGGCCACCCAGCCTGGGCCAGCGTCCAGGGCGCTTGGGATCCTGGCCCACACCAGACCAGGTACCGTTCGGTGTGACTCCCATGTTGGCCACCAGAGGGCGCACAGCCCCATTCGGGCCTGGCAGGGTTGAATCCACGCGGGTTACCTGTCACCTGGGGTGAGTGAGGGGTGGGGAAGCCACAGGCCCACTCGCGGCCCACGCTGGTGAGGGCCACCCACACCTCCAGCCTCTGCCCTCCCTGCTTCCCTGCAGGGACCGGAAGAGCACAGGCCTGAAAATCCCCAAGAAGAAAGCAAGGAGGAGACACACGGATGTGAGGAGCATCCCCGGGACGACACATGGGAGCTCCCGACAGCCTGCGCCCTTCCCTGAGCCTGGGCCTCTCTCCGGGACTGGGGTGGGGAGGTCTGCATCCCAGGCTGCAGAGGCCTGGGAGATCGCTGGGGTTCCCTTTCTTGCTGGGGTTCCCATCCCAGACCGGAGGGTGGGGAGGAGGATGGGGAGGAGAAGCTCACAGCTCCCTCCCGCCCCGCCCCATTCTCTCAGGACCCGAGCAAGGAGTGCTTCACCCTGAAATTTGACCTGAATGTGGATATCGAGACGGAGATCGTCCCAGCCATGAAGAAGAAGTCGCTGGGGTAGGGCTTGGGGGCGCTCAGGATGGAAGTGGGACTGGGAGCAGGGGTGGCCCCATGTCGCAGGTTCCGGGTCTCTGCAGCTGTGACCTGTGTGTCTGTGTGGTGGCCTGTAAGCGAGCACATCCCTGCGTGGGCAGACCCGTGTGGGTGTGCACGCCACTGTGAGGGAGTGTGGCGGGGTCTGTGTACTTGTGCGTTTTAATCATGTATGCAGGAGCCAGGCCTGCGTGTGGGCAGGCGTGTGACAGGTCTGCCATGGTGTGCAGATGCGCCTGTGTGAGGAACTCTGCGGGCAGGTGTCTGTGGACCTGCGTGTGATCCCACACGGGCTTCCCTTTTCCGTTGGGAAGGTGGGGGAAGGTGGGGGCAGCTAGGGCTGTGGGTGGGGCAGGGGCTCGTGGGGGCAGGGCCCAAGCTGAAGCGACTGGCCGCCTTGTTCTAACGCACACGCCTCCTGTCCTGGGGGCAGGGAGGTGCTGCTGCCTGTATTTGAAAGGAAGGGCATCGCGCTGGGCAAAGTGGACATCTACCTGGACCAGTCCAACACACCCCTGTCCCTCTCCTTCGAGGCCTACAGGTTCGGGGGACACTATCTTCGTGTCAAAGGTGAGCAGCAGCCTGGGCCAAATGGGGCCGCTGGGGCTGGCGGAGCCTCCTGGAGATGGGCACCTTCCCAGGCTCAGGTTCCCATTGGCTGTGGGCCTGAGCAGCCTCATTACCATACAGGTGTCTCTGCTGGGTGCTGCTTGCTGGGGGGAGAGGCGGGGTCGGGGGGAGGGCTGGCAGGGCACGGCTGTAGGGGGAGGGCAGGCAGGCCTTGGTGTGGATCCTTCGGGGAGAGAGGACTGGGGCCCCCTCCTCCACCAGAGCTGGGTACTGAGGATCTCTCGTGGCCCCCACATGCGGCCCCAGCCAAGCCTGGAGGTGAGGGCAAGGTGGAGCAGGGCGTGAAGGACTCCAAGTCCCTGAGTCTGCCGATCCTGCGGCCAGCTGGGACTGCGCCCCCTGCCCTGGAGCGTGTGGACCCTCAGAGCCGCCGGGAGAGCCTGGACATCTTAGTGAGGAGGGGGGGGTGTGTCAGGGGAGGGGGTGGGAAGGGCCCCAGGCTGGACCCACAGCCCCTCCTCAGAGGCAGTCACCCTGGGTCTCTCACTTCCCCCTCTTGGGGATTTAATTGCTCCTTCTGGAAAGTGGGGCTGGCTGTGAGAGTAAGGGACCCTCTCTCTCTGGACCTAGCGCAAGGTGAGGGCTTGTATCTGAGACTCTTCTAGTGCCAGCGGGTCAGGGAACCTGTGTGTGCATGTGTGCATGAGAGAAGTGCCCGGGGCTACAGACCGCCCAGAGCTGTGTTCCAGAGTGCATCTGAGTGTGTGTAACTCTGCGCTTCATGCTTGAAGCTGGGGGACTTGGGGCTGATAGTCTGGGCGTATCTGTGTCTGGACCTTCCAGTCTCCAAACGTGTCTGGGTCCCAGGAGAGGGGACACCCCAGGGTAGAGATGCAGAGACCCTCCTCCATCCCAGGCTGGCCTGAGGCCCTGGAAACCCACCTTGGGGTGGGGCCATGGGGGCTGGCAGGGGGTCCCGGCCCTGACCACCCCTCCCTGGTCAGGCCCCTGGCCGCCGCCGTAAGAACATGTCGGAGTTCCTGGGGGAGGCGAGCATCCCTGGGCAGGAGCCCCCCACGCCCTCTAGCTGCTCTTTGCCCAGTGGCAGCAGTGGCAGCACCAGCAGCGGCGACAGCTGGAAGAACCGGGCGGCCAGTCGCTTCAGCGGCTTTTTCAGCTCAGGCCCCAGCACCAGCGCCTTTGGCCGGGTATGTGGCCCCATCTGCCCAGGGTCAGGCAGCTGGCTGGCCGTGACCGCTGACCCTGACCAGGGTATCCTCCCAGGAGGTAGACAAGATGGAGCAGCTGGAGGGCAAGCTGCACACCTACAGCCTCTTCGGGCTGCCTAGGCTGCCCCGGAGGCTGCGCTTCGACCATGACTCCTGGGAGGAGGATGATGAGGACGAGGATGAAGACAATGCCTGCCTGAGGCTGGAGGACAGCTGGCGGGAGCTTATTGATGGGCATGAGGTGAGTGCGGGCCACAGTGCTGCTCCCTCCTTGTCCCAAAAGGAGGACAGCCCTTGGGAGGAGGATCTAGTGATGAGATGTTCCATGGGATGCCCCAAAGAGGCCACTGTTATTATGAGCCCACTTTGGAGACAGAGGCTGGATGAAAATGGTGTGCTGCTTGGCTGTTTCAATGGCAGAGGAGGGCCCAGATCTTGGGTGTCTTGACTGTGATTATTCACGTGGTATCAAGGGTGACCCTGCTCCTCTTGGGACCTCCGTGTCCCCGTTGGGAAGATGAGAAAGCTGCGTGCAGTTTGCTTATCCTCCCTGGCCACCCGAAGGTGCTCCAGGCCTCCTTGTTGACCCGTCCTGCCCTCCCTGTAGAAGCTGACTCGGCGGCAGTGCCACCAGCAAGAGGCAGTGTGGGAGCTGCTGCACACGGAGGCCTCCTACATCAGGAAACTGCGGGTGATCACCAATGTGAGTAGGGGCTGCGCTGGTCCCCGTGGTCACCCTGCCCCCCTCTTTCTGGTCTCTTTCTGACAGCCCTCAGCTGAGTGGGAGCCTTTGCAGAAGGAGCAGGTGCCTGGCAATGAGGTGGGGGCAGGAAAGTCAGACAAGGGCTGTGCCCAGGGAGGAGGTGGCTCCTAGAGGAACCTGGGAGGGGGCTTCAGGCAGGTTTGCCAGGTTCAACTGAATTAGCACAGGTGCGGCTTCATTCTTTCACTTTCGTTCAGTGGCTGTTTCCCAACACTTGCTATGTGCTGGGTGCCCAGCAGCCCACACCCTGGACGGGCCAGAGTGAGCCGGCAGTGTAGGGATTTCGGCTCAGGAATGGGAGCACCTGCCCTGGGCTTGGAGCTTCCTGGAGGGAGGAAGCACCCTCAGAGGTGAAATATGGAGGCTGAGCCAGGGCAGAGGTGGAGAAGGGAATTCCAGGCGTGGCTGCAAGGCCAGTCTCCCTGGAGCTTCCCTCCAGGAGGGACCAGGGCAGCGTGACCCCGGGAGGGCTGTTGAAGGCTGGGTCTTTCCTCAGGGTCTGGACTTCCCAGGTGCGAAGGCCGAAGGGTACAGCCTCTGTATCCCGGGCTGCTGTGGGGCCTCCTGGAAAGGGGAAGGGGAAGGAGTGGCTGGGGAGCCTGAGGCTGGGTGGGGCCTTAGGGCTGAGACAACCTCCCGACCCCAGCCACACCATTCCCTGACCCCACAGCTGTTCCTGTGCTGCCTCCTGAACCTGCAAGAATCAGGGCTGCTGTGTGAGGTGCGCTGGGGTCCGGGGGCGGCGGTGGGTGAGGTACCGGGAAGGAGGGCGGGACCTGGACGTGGGGCGGGGCTAACCTGGCGGAGGGGCGTGGCCAACCGCACCTCCCGCGGCGCCCAGGTGGAGGCGGAGCGTCTGTTCAGCAACATCCCGGAGATCGCGCAGCTGCACCGCAGGCTGTGGGCCGGCGTGATGGCGCCGGTGCTGGAGAAGGCGCGGCTTACACGGGCGCTGCTGCAGCCCGGGGACTTCCTCAAAGGCTTCAAGATGGTACGGGCGGGGCCTGGCGCAGGCAGGGGCACTAAGGTAGGGCTGGGGCGCTGAAAAGGCTCCACGGCCCGATCCGATCTGCCCAGCATCCCCAACCTCCCCCGGGCCCGTGACCGCACTTGACCTCCTGTGGCCAAGGGTGAGGAATTACGAGGCGGTCGCCCGAGTTTGAGCACCCACCTGGCCATCTACCCCTGCTTCCTGGCCGCGAGTGATCTCTTTGGCTGAGGCTCAGTTTCCTCATCTGGAAACAGGGATCATAAGCTTGCCGCCCCCTTGGGGTGGTCGCCCAAGTGCCCTAAGGAAGCGCTTGCGCAGCGCCTGGTGCGGGCCGGCCCGCAGGGAGCGCGCGGTAACCGGCGCCGTGGTTGTTCTGCCCCGGGCCAGTTCGGCTCGCTCTTCAAGCCCTACATCCGCTACTGCATGGAGGAGGAGGGCTGCATGGAGTACATGCGCGGTCTGCTGCGCGACAACGACCTCTTCCGGGCTTACATCACGGTGAGAGCGTGCGCGCCGTGGGCGGGGGCGCGGGAGGACGGGACCCTGGGCGGGGCCAGGTGGGGCGGGGCCTGCCCTGAGCCCCGTCCCCACTCCCCCACCACAGTGGGCCGAGAAGCACCCACAGTGCCAGCGGCTGAAGCTGAGCGACATGCTGGCCAAACCCCACCAGCGGCTCACCAAGTACCCGCTGCTGCTCAAGTCGGTGCTGAGGAAGACCGAGGAGCCGCGCGCCAAGGAGGCCGTCGTCACCATGGTAACCCTGATGGCCGACAGGGGTGGCCTCCCCTGCACGGCTGTCTGCCCCGTCATGAGCCTGGGCCTGAAGCCCCCTCGCCTGCCCCTAGATCGGTTCCGTGGAGCGCTTCATCCACCACGTGAATGCGTGCATGCGGCAGCGGCAGGAGCGGCAGCGGCTGGCGGCCGTGGTGAGCCGCATCGACGCCTACGAGGTGGTGGAAAGCAGCAGCGACGAAGTGGACAAGGTGGGCGTGTGTCTGCGGGGGTTGCCGGCTGGGAGAGAGGAAGGCCAACCTGGCAGGCAGGGTCTTTCCTGGGCATCTCACTGAGGATGCCTAGCTGAGATGGGAGTCAGACTCCGGCCTCCCCTACACTCACGCCCTCTGTCCCCAGCTCCTGAAGGAATTTCTGCACCTGGACTTGACAGCGCCCATCCCCGGCGCCTCCCCGGAGGAGACGCGGCAGCTGCTGCTGGAGGGGAGCCTGAAGATGAAGGAGGGGAAGGACAGCAAGGTAATTCCAGGGCCACCCCACCCCCATGCCCTGTCCTTCCTGGGGACCTTCTGGGCCCCAGTCACTGGTTCTCAGCTCCCCAGTCACTTGGATGGTGACTCAAGAACCGGTGACCTTGTCATAGTGAATGACAGTTCTCTGTCTGCCATTCACAAATCCAGCAGCAGGGTCCTAGCCCTTGAAGGCACCAGTGGACCCATTTGTGGGTGCCACGTGGGTTCCTGGTGGGAGGGCAGCCACATTCCACAAGTGGGCCAGGAACCCCAGAGGCTGGCTACAGTGCCGTGGCCCCTTCAGGCATGGGGCAGGCTGAGAGATTGCACATGGTGACTTCAAAGTCAGCACTGTTCTTTTTAATGTAAACTTGTATTAAGTCATCGACGTACATCTCAGTGAAAGAGAATCATCTTCCTCTTCATTTTAATTTTACTTGAAGGTTCACGCTGGGAGGAGTGTTTGACAAAAACCGAATGCTCCCAGGGGAGGCTGGGGCCACAGTCCCCGGCCCTGACCCTGCTGGCCTCTCTGCACTGCCCCCCCCCAACTGCAGATGGATGTGTACTGCTTCCTGTTCACGGATCTGCTGTTGGTGACCAAGGCAGTGAAGAAGGCAGAGAGGACCAGGGTCATCAGGCCACCCCTGCTAGTGGACAAGATTGTGTGCCGGGAGCTACGGGACCCTGGTAAGGGGCCCTGGTCCCCCGTTCCTGGTCAGGGACTGTGATAGGTGGGGGCCATTGTCTCTGCTGACACTGACTTGGGCCTTCCCTAACCAGGGTCCTTCCTCCTCATCTACCTGAATGAGTTTCACAGCGCTGTAGGGGCCTACACGTTCCAGGCCAGCGGCCAGGCCTTGTGCCGTGGCTGGGTGGACACCATTTACAACGCCCAGGTGAGCGCAGAGTAGTGAGTGGGTGGGCAGGGCAGATTAGGGAGCTGCTGGTCACAACCCATTCTGCCCCATGTACCCCAACACTGCCTGCAGAACCAGCTGCAACAGCTGCGTGCACAGGAGCCCCCAGGCAGCCAGCAGCCCCTGCAGAGCCTGGAAGAGGAGGAGGATGAGCAGGAGGAGGAAGAAGAGGAGGAGGAGGAGGAAGGCGAGGAGAGTGGCAATTCAGCTGCCAGCTCCCCCACCATCATGCGGAAAAGCAGCGGCAGCCCCGACTCTCAGCACTGGTATGTCTGCTCATGACCACCCAGCACGTCAAACCAGGACAAGTACTCCAGCCCAGGACTCCTGAAGGCCCAGCCACGCTCCCTTCCTCCCAATGGCGTCTTGTCATGAACACTATGGGGGCGGGGCTCTATCTCCCCCAGAGTCCAGGTGGGGTGGGCAGACACCTTTCCACGTGCTGCCAGCTCTGATCCATTCGTGGCAGCTGCCTGGGGTGCTGTGCTGAGGATCCTTAGGGCAGATCCAGCCTTGGCAGGGAAGAGTACTGGGCTCGCTACTGAGGTCTGTTGTGGGCACTGGAGCTGGAAGATCTGCCACACCTGCCACGTGCTGCCATCTCTGAGCCTCTAGCCCCAGGAGGACAGACAGGAGGGCAGAGGGTATAAACCACTGTGCACTGCCCAGCCTGGGGCTGCCTCAGGGCATCTAGGTTTCATGGCCTGGGCTGACTCTGCTCCTGGCCCCACAGTGCCTCAGATGGCTCCACGGAGACCCTGGCCATGGTTGTGGTGGAGCCTGGGGAGACGCTGTCCTCCCCCGAGTTCGACGGCGGTCCTTTCAGCTCCCAGTCCGATGAGACCTCTCTCAGCACCATTGCCTCATCTGCCACACCCACCAGTGAGCTGCTGCCCCTGGGTCCAGTGGACGGCCGCTCCTGCTCCATGGACTCTGCCTACGGCACCCTCTCCCCAACCTCCTTACAAGACTTTGTGGCCCCAGGCCCTGTTGCAGAACTAGTGCCTCGGCCCCCAGATTCCCCACAAGCTCCTTCCCCTCCACCCTCGCCCCGTCTCCGCCGCCGCACCCCTGTCCAGCTGTTAACCTGCCCGTCCCAACTGCTCAAGTCTAAGTCCGAGGCCAGCCTCCTCCAGCTACTGGCAGGGGCTGGCACCCATGGAACATCCTCTGCCCCCAGCCGCAGCCTGTCAGAGCTCTGCCTGGCTGTCCCAGCCCCAGGTATTAGGACTCAGGGCTCCCCTCAGGAAGCTGGGCCCAGCTGGAATTGCCGGGGGGGCCCTAGCCCTGGCGGTGGTCCTAGGCTAGCTAGCTGCCTGGCCGGGGAACCTGCAGGCTCCTACAGGAAGAGGTGTGGAGACCTGCCCTCGGGGGCCTCTCCCAGGGTCCAGCCTGAGCCCCCACCAGGAGTCTCCACCCAGCACAGGAAGCTGACCCTGGCCCAGCTCTACCGAATCAGGACCACCCTGCTGCTTAACTCCACGCTCACTGCCTCGTGAGTGGCCTGGCCTGGGGTAGGGCAAGTGGCTCAGGGCACTGGCATGGGGGCCCAGTCATGCCTGGGAGCATCGCATTTGGGGAGGGTGATGGCGGAGGGAGCCTGAACCCTGCCCAGTGTCTGGGTGCGGGGGGCTGTGGTGGGCAGTAGTGAAGGGGCCTGAGGAGTGCCGTGGGGAAGAGAGGGTGACCAGAGCCACTCTGAATGGTGTCAGCCAAAGAAAGACTCCCTTCCCCACCCTGTAGGGAGGTCTGAGCAGAGGGAGGCCCCCAAGAGTGCCATTGACCAAGAGGCAGTAGACAGCCTGCCTCCTGGGGCGTGCCGGCACCTGCTTCAGTGGCTGCCTCCTGTGTGCATGAGCCGGATGCTGGGAAGGATCCCTGCCTACACCCGGACCCGACTCGTGCTTTGCCAGACTGGATGGAGTGGAGGCGGCCCAGGCCACAGTACCACCTGACCTGCCCAGGCAGCCCCTCGTCACCTACTCCCCGAAGTTAACAGCTCAACTCGAATCCAGGGCTGGGCTCCCAGGCTGCCCATCCCACTTCTACCCTCACTGGCCTCCAGTGGGACTCACTCCTGCCTCGCCCCCACCTTCCCAGTCCCACAGGCCACCCCTGGCTTGGGCTAGGTTCTGTAAAGTTACGTATTTATTGAGCTTTTGGTTCTTTTATAAAGACTTGTCTAGACTCCACTGGGAAGAGTCCTTTGCTTTGGGGTCCAGTGACTCGGGGCACTTGAATTCAGGGTGGCCTCTTTGCGTTCCTGTGCCCCTCCACATGCCACGGATGGGCCATGGATAGAGCTTCCCATGGGAAGCACCTGGGAAGTAACGGGGGGTGGGGTGCCACCAGACCAATATCCCCAGACTTCCCCACCTTCAGCCACCATCAGAACCTCTCCCCAGGTGCCCTCCTGGGATTCAGGGCTGAATCTGCCCAGTTCCCACACTCTTAGGAAGGTGGGTCCCCCATGGGGGTCCCTTCAGGTACTTTTTTTTTTTTTAAGACAAAGTCTTACTCTGTTGCCCAGGTTGGAGTGCAGTGGTGTGATCTCGGCTCACTGCAACCTCTGCCTCCCGGGTTCAAACGATTCTCCTGCCCCAGCCACTTTAGTAGCTGGAACTGCACGTATCCACCACCACGCTGGGCTAATTTTTGTATTTTAAGTAGAGATGGGGTTTCCACCATATTGGTCAGGCTGGTCTCGAACTCCTGACCTCAAGTGATCCTCCCGCCTCAGCCTCCCAAAGTGCTAGAACTACAGGCCTGAGCTACTGCGCTTGGCCCCTTCTGGTACTTTTGGCCCAACCCCCTCCATGGCTGGGGGCGCGGAGGCGGAGAAAGAAGTCGCTTGCCCTGGTTCTACTTTGAAGTGTTTCTCAGGGTTGGGGCGAGAGTCGGGGTAGGGACCGGGATGCAGCTCCATCCTGTGTCCCTGGTCGCAGCAGGCAGCCCAGCGCTTCGCGTGTTCTCCTTGGCCTTTCCGCTGCTGCCAAATGAGTTCAGGTCTAGGCCGAGCAGAGGGGGCACCCGGTCGGATTCGGTTGGCCTTGGGCGGCCCCGCCTCCCCCCGCCCGCCAGGCGGGCCCTTCTCAACGGCGCGGGGCGGGCCCTGCCGGCGCGGGAGTGAAGGCGGAACCACGACGGGCAGAGCGCACGGAGCTGGGAAGCCCCTGGGCGCCCGTCGGAGGGCCGAGCGCGGCGCCGAGGGCCATGGAGCAGCGGTCGCGGGGCTCCGCGGCGGTGGCAGCGGTGTCTACGGTGAGTTGAGACGCAGGAGGCGAGGGGCAGCTTTGAGCCTTGTCCCAAGAGCCTCCGTGAAGGAAGGGGCCCCGGGCGCAGTCTCCACTCCAAGCCTCCCTGTGGCTGGGCTGGCCACCCCTTCCAACCTCGTTAGAGGCTCCACCAGGGCGTAGCCCTTCCACTGAGAGGAAACTCCTCCCAGGAGGGTCTGGGGGCCCCAGGTAGAGAATGATCAGTGTCCCTCCCCCAACAGAAAGCATGGGTGGGGGTGTGGGTGCTGCCGTGTCCCTGCCCTGGTGGACGGGAAGCTTGTGAGAGGCTGGAAGAGCCCCTTCCTCTGGCTCTCCGAAGCCTGGTGTGTGCACAGGGGGAAGGAAGTTAGTCTCGTCTCCACCCATGGGCACCCCTTCTGCGGGGGGCCTGGGAAGTGGGCTGTTCTGTGGGCAAATGCTGGGGCCTCTGAAATGGCGGAGACCCGGCAGGGAGAGGCCCCACGTGGGCAGCTGCACTGAGAGTCAGCAGCACCTGTCCCCCAGGCGCTCCTCCTGGTGCTGCTGGGGGCCCGGGCGCAGGGCGGCACACAAAGCCCCAGATGTGACTGTGCCGGTGACTTCCACAAGAAGAATGGTGTGTTTTGTTGCAGGGGCTGCCCAGCGGGTAAGTGGCCACAGGGGTGGGAGAGGCATGGGACAGGCAGGGCTGGAGAGGTGGCGGGCAGGCCAGGGAGGTAAGAGGAGGCTGGCAGGGGAGGTAGGGGTAGGCTGACAGAGAAGTAGGGAGCTGGAGAGAAAGAGGGAGGGAGGGCAGGGTGGGAAGCAGGTTGAGGGTTGCTGGGCAGCCCCTCTGCCTGCCTGACCCCTGCCTGGTTCCACAGGGCACTACCTGAAGGCCCCTTGCACGGAGCCCTGTGGCAACTCCACCTGCCTTCTGTGTCCCCAAGACACCTTCTTGGCCTGGGAGAACCACCATAATTCTGAATGTGCCCGCTGCCAAGCCTGTGATGAGCAGGGTGAGGGGCTTCTCAGTGCTTGGCAGGGGGTTCCTAAGGACAGGCCTTTCTGAAGGAAGTGGCTGGCTTGGGCCCAACCTTGGGGTGTGAGGGTCCTGCACCCACCCTTGCCAGAACCCTCCACCCTGATCCTCCTTCAGGGTGCCCTTGCCCCTTCTCTCTTCCTGGTGACCTTTCCATCTCTCCATGTGCCTTGGCCTCTGATCGGCCTCAGTCTCTGAGCTTCTCTCTTTTTTAGGGTAGCCCTGCACCTGTCTCTCTTTCACCTATTCCTGTCTCCATTATCTTGGGGGCGGGGGTCTGCCTCTGCCTCTCTATGGGAGCCTTTGGCCCTAACTCTCCACTCTCCATCTCCCTGCACCCCCACCAGCCTCCCAGGTGGCACTGGAGAACTGTTCAGCTGTGGCCGACACCCGTTGTGGCTGTAAGCCAGGCTGGTTTGTGGAGTGCCAGGTTAGCCAATGTGTCAGCAGTTCACCCTTCTACTGCCAACCATGCCTAGACTGCAGGGCCCTGCACCGCCACACACGGCTACTCTGTGAGTACCCCCACCCAGGGCTATCTACTCCCTGGCCCACTTCTCTGCCTGCCCTACTCCTGTTCCATGCTGACGCATGCCTCTCCTGGACTGCAGGTTCTCGCAGAGATACTGACTGTGGGACCTGCCTGCCTGGCTTCTATGAACATGACGATGGCTGCGTGTCCTGCCCCACGTAATACCTAGCTGTCTTGGGATGGAAGGAAGGGCAGCTGGGAGCAGGGCAAGGGCCTGGGGTGGGGCAGGTGCTGCTGGTTCAGGAATAGGAAGAGGGGACAGGGAGGAGGGAACTTGGCCCTGTGTTGGATGGGCCCCACTTCAGGCAAACTTAGATGGTAAAAGAGAAATCTGCATCCTCCTTAGCCAGATAAATAAGGGTATATGCCTTCCCTTTCAGCCAGCATTCCCCCCAGTGATCCTTCTAGCCAGGTATTACAGATGATTTGTCACTTTTACAGACAGTCACATTGATGTAGCTTTAAAACTTGGGCTGAAGGAGGTTGATGCTGCAGTGAGCTATGATCGTGCCACTGCACTTCAGCCTGGACAACAGAGCAAGATCTATTAAATAAATAAATATTAAATCTATTAAATATTAAATAAATATATTAAAATAAATAGATAAATACAAAGGGCTGAGAGTCAGGATTGTGCTGCTAGTTCTCTAGGGGATCTTGGGCAAGTTTAGAGAATTCACATCTCTGATATGTGGTGTCCCTTTCTCAACATGGGATGTTAGCAGCTTCTTCACAGGCCTTTGATCAGAGGTAAGGGACTTTCTGTATCTGTTCAAGTCTTTTTTTTTTTTAGATGGAGACTTGCTCTGTCACCCAGACTGGAGTGCAGTGGCATGATCTTGGCTCACTGCAACCTCTACCGCCTGGGTTCAAGTGATTCTCCTGCCTCAGCCTCCCAAGTAGCTAGGACTTCAGGCGCCCACCACCATGCTGGCTAATTCTTTGTATTTTTAGTAGAGACAGGGTTTAACCGTGTTAGCCAGGATGGTCTCGATCTCCTGACCTCATGATCTGCCCGCCTCGGCCTCCCAAAGTGCTGGGATTACAGGTGTGAGCCACCGCGCCCGGCCTTCATTCAAGTCTTTATTGAATATCTCCTATGTTCTACACACTGTTCTAGGTGCTGGGGATGCAACAGGGAACAAAATAGGCAAAATCCCTGTCCTTTTGGGGTTGACATTCTAGTGACTCTTCATGTAGTCTAGAAGCTGCTCAATGAATAGTGTCTGTGGTTGTTATCGGGGCACAATGACAGGAACATTCTTGCGTAGAGTGAGGCTCACAGGAGAGAGGCCTGGGAAGGGAAGAGTCTCCAGGATGGAGCAGTCTTGGGGAGCCCCTCCTGGCATGCACCCCCTCATCCCTCAGGCCACCCCCGTCCCTTTCAGGAGCACCCTGGGGAGCTGTCCAGAGCGCTGTGCCGCTGTCTGTGGCTGGAGGCAGAGTAGGTGGTGTGCTGGGAATGCGAGTGGGAGAACTGGGATGGGCCGAGGGGAGGCGGGTGAGGGGGGCTACCACCCAACACCCACCAGCTGCTTTCAGTGTTCTGGGTCCAGGTGCTCCTGGCTGGCCTTGTGGTTCCCCTCCTGCTTGGGGCCACCCTGACCTACACATACCGCCACTGCTGGCCTCACAAGCCCATGGTTACTGGTAAGTACACAGACCCACACACACACACACACACGCACGCAGAAGCCTGGGGTCAGGATGGGTAGCCCAGAGTCTACTCAACCCTGATACAGAAGGGGAAACTGAGGCAGGGGGTGCGGGGTGCAGAGGAACCCTAGAGCTGTACCGGCACCCAGGTCCAGGAGGCTTGCCTGGTCGCTGACCGTACTGTCTCTGTGTCTGTCAGCAGATGAAGCTGGGATGGAGGCTCTGACCCCACCACCGGTAAGAACCTCACTGTGTGATTCTGGGCTGCCTTCTGGAGCTGGAAGATCAAGCCTTATTGTGATCCCCAGAGCTTGGCACGTGGCTAGCACAGGGTAGACCTAGTAGACAGAGGTGTTGCGAGCTGAGTCCTGCCCTCAAGGGGTGTCAGTCAGCTGGGGTTCAGACTTGTACACAGGAGCTAACAGTTCAATGGAAGGAGAGCCCCATGGTGCTGGGGGACAAGAGGAAGGAGGCGGGGGCAGGGGACTTGAGGCAGAAGCAAGAGTTCTGCTGGGCCACAGTGAGAGCTGGGCCAACTGTGGGAGGTATCACTGCGGGAGTGTCTGCTGACTGAACCCGGGACTGTTCCCTCCTGGAGAGGCACTGCAGGTAAGGGGCCTTACTTGACAAGCAGGGCTGACCTGGGGCCCCTCTTGGCTTCCAGGCCACCCATCTGTCACCCTCCGACAATGCCCACACCCTTCTAGTACCTCCTGACAGCAGTGAGAAGATCTGCACCGTCCAGTTGGTGGACAACAGCTGGACCCCTGGCTACCCCCAGACCCAGGAGGCGCTCTGCCCGCAGATGACATGGTCCTGGGACCAGTTGCCCAACAGAGCTCTTGGTAAGGGACATCAGTGGCCTGAGGCCTTGACCCCATTCTCCTGTCTGCGGTGGGAAGTTGTGGTTTCACAACGTGTTCCCTTTCTGCCCCCTAACTGACCGGGTCCGCCCCCTGTGCCCTGACCCGCGGGATCCAACGGGCTTCAGGCCTGGGGTACCCGCACGAACGCCCCTGACTCCACCTCCCGACCGCGGCCCACGTCCCCCATTGGCTCTCTCTGGCCCTGCCCCAGGCCCCGTTCCTGCGTCCACACTCTTGCCAGAGTCCCCAGTCGGCTCGCCCACCATGATGCTGCAGCCGGGCCCGCAGCTCTACGACGTGATGGACGCTGTGCCAGCACGGCGCTGGAAGGAGTTCGTGCGCACCCTGGGGCTGCGCGAGGCGGAGATCGAAGCCGTGGAGGTGGAGATCGGCCGCTTCCGAGACCAGCAGTACGAGATGCTCAAGCGCTGGCGCCAGCAGCAGCCCGCGGGCCTGGGCGCCGTCTACGCGGCCCTGGAGCGCATGGGGCTGGACGGCTGCGCGGAGGACTTGCGCAGCCGCCTGCAGCGCGGCCCGTGACCCGGCGCCCACTCGCCACCTAGGCCTCTGGTGGCCCTTGCAGAAGCCCTAAGTACAGTTACTTATGCGTGTAGACATTTTATGTCACTTATTAAGCCGCTGGCACGATCCTGCGTAGCCGCACCAGCCGGCCCCACCCCTGCTCGCCCCTATCACTCCAGCCAAAGCGAAGAAGCACGAACGAATGTCGGGAGGGGGTCAAGACATTTCTCAGTCTCGCCCCCAGAGTGGCGCAGAGAGCGGGATAAAAAATGTGGGGGGAAAAAAAAAATGGCTTCTTGGCGTTTCTGCGGGGCTGGGGTGTTAAGTGGCCTGGACTTTTCTCGAGGGAGTCGAAGGGGACGGGAATCTTGTCACCCCGGGGTCTGGCACCCATGGTGGAGTCCAGTGTGGCCTTAGCTCCCAAGCCTGCCCCTCCCGAGTCCACTCTGGTCCAATTACCCCCAGAAGAGAGCAAGTCGCGGCCACAGCGAGTGATGAGAGCGCTTTAATGGGGCTGCGAGGAGGCGGGGACAGGGTCGGGATGGGGTGCAGCAGTTACAGACACAGGGTCAGGGCCCCTCATCCTCCACTGACTCCACCGGGGCAGTGAAAGGGTCCTGGCAGCGAGTGGGTCTGGCTGGGGACGGGGCGTAGACTTGAGGGAGGTGGGGTCCCAGGGGCCCCAACTGAGGCCCGACAGGCAGTTTTCATCTTTCTGGTAAACAAATGACTGAGAGGAAACCCTCGGCGGGGATAAGAAATGAGGCCCGGGCTAGGCCGGGCACAGATCTGGGTCAGGGACGGAGGGAAAACCCCTTCCCCGAGCTCGGGGCCTGCCTCCACCCAGGATGCGCCAGCGACGCCGGTTCCGGGGTGCGGGGGAGGGGACTGCATCCTGGAGGGGGCTGAGCCCCGCAGGAAAACAAAGTCACCACCCACAGGGCTGGGGAGAGCTCTTCACTCTTTGATATTCAACGAACATGCAAATATATGTAAGTCGGCATGCAAATAAGCAGCATTTTTTGTTGTTTGCATCAGCAGCTTGGGCACTTATTCTGGGCAACTGGGGCGGCGTGTGCACTCCAGTGTTGCCAAGGGCTGGGGATGCGGGGCCAGGATGGGGGGTCGAGGGGGTTCCAGCGCAGGAGGGGTGGGCTGTGCGGCTCCCAGCCCTTCCGCCGGGGCCTGGCTGGCTGGGGCTGGGGCGGGGGGCCCCTCCGAGCTGCAAGGCTGCGGGCAGGAGGCCACGGCCTCTAGTACTTAGCGATGTCCCCCTTCTTCAGGATGACCTGTCGCTGCCAGGGCGCCAGCTTGCTCTCATCGTAGCCCAGCGTCCGCAGCTTCTCTGACTGCTCCTTCTCCCGCCGCAGCTCCTCCTGCTTCTGTCGCTCCTCCTCTTTCCTGAGGCGGTGGGGGAGGGGGGGGCAGACCCGGTGAAGTCTGGGGCCAGATACCCAGGCTGGCAGAAAGGGTGGGGCCAGGCACCAGGCAGAGGCCAGGTCACCCATGCAAGGGGAGGGTTACTGAGGGCGCGGGCTGGGTTGCTGAAGACAGAGGGGCTAGATTGGGGGCAGAATGGGGTTACTGGAGCACAGGGGAGCTGTGTGAGTGGGAGGCTGAGGCTGGATTATTGTGGGCTGGGGTGTTACTGGAAACAGAGGTGCTGGGTCACTGTGTGGCACCGTGTGAGGAGGTGGTGTTGCTGGGGTGCAGCAGCAAGCTTACTGGGATCAGGACTTCAGTTGTTGGGGAGCTGTCAATATGAAGTATTGAGGACTGGGGTGGGGCTGCTGGGGACCAGAGAGACTACATAATTGAGAGACAGGGACTGAGAATTAGAGACAGGTTATTAGAACGTAGAGGGTAGATCTGCCCTGTTGACAGAATAGTCACTAAGCACATGTGGCTGCTGAGAATTTGAAATGTGGCTGGTCTAAACTGTGATGGATTGCAGGTGTAAAATGTGCATGATATTTCAAAGACTAAGTTTTATTATTATTATTATTATTTGAGACAGGGTCTCGCTCTGTTGCCAGGGTGGAGCACAGTGGTCAGATCATGGCTCACTGCAGCCTCGACCTCCTGGGTTCAAGTCATCCTCCCACCGCAGCACTCCCCAAAGCAGCGCTGGGACACAACCACTGTGCCCCACTACGCCCAGCTAATCTTTTTTTTCCTTTTAACTGCAGTCGGAGTCTCGCGTCTGGTCACCCTAGGCTGAGTGCGTCCGGCAACCATCTCGCTCACTCGCCCCGTCCCTCTAGGTTCAAGCGACTTTCTGCCTCCGCTTCAGTAGCTGGGATCTTACAGGCGTGCGCGCCGCATGCCCGCTAATTTTTGTATTCTAGTAGACGACAGGGGTATTCCACCATCGTTGGTCAGGCTGGTCCTGACCACTCCTGACTTCAGGTAATCCTGCCTGCCCTTGGCCTCCAAGTGCTCGGGATTCTACACGGTCGTGCAGCCCACTGACGCTGCGCCTGCCAGCTAAGTTCTTTTACATTATTTTTTTTGAGAATGGAGTTCCCTCCACTTGTCCTAGGTGGAGCAACAAACCATTTGTGCGCTATCCCAGCTCACCTGCCAACCTCCGCCTCCGGTTTTACAGTCGATGCTCCTGTACAGCTCCCGACGTAGCTGGGATCTACCGGATTGCCCCGCACCACCACCTAAATTTTTGTATTTTTCACGTAGAGATGTGGTGTTTACCATGTTGCCCCAGGGGCTTGGTCTTCGACACTCCTCGACTCCAGGGTGATCTGCTGCTTCAGCCTCCCAAAGTGCTGGGAATTACAGCGTAATGAGTCACCTGCGGCTGGCCCCACGAAGCCGTAATTCTAAAAAAAATTTTTTTTGCATGCTTGGTAGGTGGTGGCTCGAGGCCTGTACATCGCAGTACTTTGGGAGCTTGAAGCGTGGGTAGGACTCACCTGACGGTCAGGAGTTGGGTCAGACGCCACACATGACCACAAAGCACCTGGCCTCCTCCCCCTACAAACCTAAAAAAATTCCCGGGCATGGCCGCGTAGGTGCCTACTAATCCCAACTACCTCGGTAACGCTGAGGCAGGCGAATCGCCTTGGACCGAGGAAGGTAGAGTTGCAGAGTGGAAGCACAGATCACTGAACCATAAGCAACTCAGCAAGCATGGGCAAACAATAAGCAAAGCGAAAACCTCAATCCTCCATCAAAAGAAAAAACAAAAGGCCGGCGGCATGGCCTCATTATCGTCATCCTCGCCACAACAATACTTTTGAGCCAGAGGCCAGGAGGAGAGCGCATCCCAGCGGTCAGGAGTCCGAGACCATCCTGGCTAACATGGTGAAACCCAGTCTCTACTTAAAAAAAAATGCAAACCAACATTAGGCTGGGCTGTGCGCGTGGCGGCCGTCTGTCTACACTCAGCTACCTTGGGACGGCTGCAGCAGGAGAACGGCCTGACCACCGGAAAGCAGAGTTGCCACGTGCATCGAGATCGAGCCTGCTCTACAGGCCCTGGGCGACAGAGTCCATCTCAAAAAAAAAAAAAAAGAAAAAAGAAAAAAAGACCAGGCTTGGTGGCTCACGCCTATAATCCCAGAACTTTGGGAGGCTGAGGCGGGTGGATCACTTCAGGTCAGGAGTTTGAGACCAACTTGGCCAACATGGTGAAACCCCGACTCTACTAAAAATACAAAAATTAGCTGGGTGTGGTAGCACATGCTTGTAATCCCAGCTACTCAGGAGGCTGAGGTAGGAGAATCGCTTGAACCCAGGAGGTGGAGGTTGCATGAGCCCAGATCACCACGGCACTCCAGATTGGGTGACAAGAGTGAAACTCCGTCCCAAAAAAATTTTTTTTTTTTTTTTTCCAGAATGAGGTCTCACTGCATTGCCCAGGCTGGTCTCAAACTTTGGGGCTCAAGTGGTCCCCCTGCCTTGGCCTCTCAAAGTGCTGGGATTACATGTGTAAACCACCATGCCTGGCCAAAGACTTACTTTACAAGAGGAATATAAAACATCTCACTAATTTTCATATTGATTATGTGTCAAAATAATATTTTTGATATTTTGTGTCAAATAAAACAGTACTAAAATTAAGCTCACCTATATCCTTCTACATTTTCACTGTGGCTACTAGAAAATTTTAAATTGCATCTGTGGCTCACATTATATTTCTACTGGACAGCACTGGGCTGGGTGAGATTACTAGGGGCAGAAAATACATTCTGAGGGCCAGTCAAGGTGATTGATACTGGGGTTAGGTTAACTGAAGGGTAGAAAAGGCCATGCTAATAGGAGGCAGGGACTGAATAACTGGGAGCAAAGTTATCAGAGCATGAGAGAGAGATTCTGGGGGACAGCGGGCTGGGGCATTATAAGGAGGAAAGAGGCTTTGTACAAGGACTAAGAGACAGGAGGATGCACTCAAGTTGGCCTGGATGAAGGGATGACCCTCTGCGACCTGGGTGGGGGTAAGGGTGGCAGGTTGGGGCCAGCCCTGCACTCACCGCTTCTGCTCCCTGGAAGGAAAAAGAGAGTGTCACTTGGTCCCACCACCTCAGGGACGCAGTCAAGACACCCCGCCAGGCCAGCCTCTGCCTGACCCCCAGCTCACCTCTCTTCTTCCAGCTTCTTCCGCAGGAGGTCCCGCCTCCAGGCGGGCATGCTGGCCAGCCGGGCCTCCTCCTCCTCCTCCTGAAACACAACCACAAAGCTTTAGGGCCTGCAGGGGCTGGGAGATAGGGGGTACCCTCAACCTGGGGACCTGAAGGAGTCAGGGTCACAGGAAGATACCCTTTTGATGAACTTCTGTGGGACAAGTGGATGAAGTGCCTGGTCACAGCTCCTCAGAGCTGGCCTCCTTTCCCCTAGTAACCCAGACCCTTGTGTCCTACAGGAGGCACTAGAGAGATCAGAGCTGAGTGGGACAGAAGCAGAGAAGAAGTAGCTGGGACCCAGATGTCCTGAGCGTGATTCCCCACAGGGGCAGGTGGCCAATGGCCACAGGCCCAAGACTTCTGGGCAGATGCAGATGTGGGCCCCCGCCCAGCCTCTTGGCTCAGGGAGACTCCGGCTGCCCCTGGCTTCCCTGCAAAGGACCTTCAGCCCATGGTTGCCCTCTTCCCACAAGAGTGGACATGTGCTGTACATTTGTGGGGCTGCAATGACATCGGGGGCAGGTGTGGTGGCCAATGTAGGTAGTTTACAGCAAAGAGTTTTATTTATCGAACGTTACAGAGGAGAAAGGGTCTGTACACGGCACACTTCACACCGAACACTGCACACGAGGCTCCCTTGACCTCAGCCAAGGAGGTAGCTGTGAACTCCAGTGGAAAACCGGAGAGCAGGCCACACTGCCACAAGGGGGAGCCGCAGCCCCTCACTCAGAGGGACTTCTGCCGCCTGGCTCCACACAGAGCCCAGCAATGCCACGGGGCCAGAGGGGGACACCTGGTTTGTTCTGTGCGTGCCCTGCCTATGCGACCAACGCCCCACAGCCTGCCACGATGGGACCTCAGAGGCTGAGGCAGCCTGGTCCTGGGCCCTCCAGGCTGCTCAAGGCCACAGTTCTGGGTTCTTCCTGCTGCTTCCGGCCTCTGGAGGGCGTCAGACAGGCGTCCAGACCCACGTTAAGACGCTGGAGGGTGAACTGCGAATTCCGAATTCCGCTGCTCAGATGTCAAACAGCTCTGCCTCCTTCTCCTTCCAGAAGGAGAAGCTGCGGTCGATGTAGCGGCAGATGTCCTCGTTGCTGAACTCGCCCATCTCAGACACCAGTTCCAAGGGGTCTTCGGCGGGGGCTTCGGAACCAGGAGAGTCTGAGGTCGGGGGAGGCGCAGCAGGCGGGGGCGGCGGCTGCGGCGCAGGGGCCAGGGCCTCGGGCTGCCCCTCGGGCAGGACCCCTGTCTGAACTGGAGCGGCCTCTTCGGTTAGCTCTCGTTCTTTCTCTTCCTTTTTCTTCTCCTGTTCTTCTGGGGCTGGCTCAGCCTCCAGGCCATTCCCGAAGAACCGGTGCCTGAGGTCCTCGAAGCCGTCGCTCCAGCCGCGCCGTCCGGCCTCCACCTCCTCCAGCACCACGCGGTGGAAGAGGCGGATGCGCTCCCACGGGTGGCTGCCCAGCCGGTCGAACATCTCGTAGCACAGTAGGTGGCGGAACTTGCGCTCCTCGCGGCTCAGGCCCATCTCGAGTAGCTGGAAGTAGCCGAGCATGAAGAGGTCCAGCGTGAGGCTGTCGTAGCACGGGGGTGCGCCGCCGTCCAGGGGCGGCAGGAAGTGCTGGGGCCAGTACAGGCCGTGCGCCAGGCCCGGGCTTGCCGGCACGCGCCGCAGCAGGCTCCGCCAGTGGCCCAGCAGCTTGCCTACCGCCTGCCGCTGCCTCAGCAGCTGCCGCAGTCGTTCGTCGGGACCGTGGGCTGCGCCGTCGCTCGCTGGCAGCCGGGGGGCGTCCGTGGCCTCCAGCTCCGGGCCGGCACCGGCGGCCGCCACACGGGGCAGCAGTCTGCGTAGGCGCGCCTGGGCGCGGCGGCCCGGCCCGCGGAAAGCCCAGCGGCGCCAGTGCTCCAGGAAGAGGTAGACGATGCGCTCTTTGCGCAGGTCGAGGTAGTCCTGGACGCCGCGCAGCTCCGTGCAGAGGGGCGGTCGGCGCGCCAGCTGCTCGGGCTCAGGCAGCGCCGCCTGGCGATCCTTTGCCTCGGGCGGGCCCAGGGTGCCCAGGGGCTCCCAGTCGGCCAGCGGGCCGTGGGCGGCGCCGGCGCTGGGCTGGCCAGAGCCGCCCGCCACGTAGTCCTCCTCCAGGATGGGCTCGCGGCCCGGGGCGCCAGAGGACTGCAGGGGCTTGCGGCGCAGACAGCGCGCGGGCTCCGCGCCCCGTGCGCGCAGCTCGTAGGTGGCGCGCAGATGCTGCACTGAGACGCCGCACTCGAGGATCTCGCGCGCCACGGCCTCGCGGCACCAGCTGAGCGAGTGCGAGCGGCCCAGGCACAGCGGTCCGGGCCGCCAGGGCGCGTCGGGCAGCGGCGCTAGCGGCTGGCCGGTGTCAGCGGTTAGCAGTTCCGCCAGGTGCGCAGGCCGGCCGCCCAGCGCGGCCAGCAGCGTGGCCATGCTCTTGAGCAGCGTGGAGATCTTACTGCACCAGGCGGGCAGGCTGACGGCGCGGCCATGCATGCGGCGCGGGTCGACGGTGAAGCGCGGCGCCGACAGGGCGGCCGAGATGGGCAGCAGCTGCTCCAGCTCCAGCTCCAGTTGCTCCAGGCGCGCCTCCAGCTTCTGCGCCTTGTGCAGCACCTGCAGGTTCTCGATTTGCTGCTCGATGCGGAGGATGTCCGCCTCGGTCATGAGCTCGCCGAAGGGCCCAAGGATGGCGTTGTGCTCGCGGGAGTACCTCCAGCCCTCGCGGGGGTAGCAGCACGAGCTGGTGGCCGTCAGCTAAGGCGGGGAAGACAAGAGAGGGGAGGGAGGCGCGTCTCCCTCTGGCCCAGCTCCCGCAGTGGTGCCGGGAACCTTTTGCATGTCCTGGGTGGTGTAATGGCTCCGCGGGGCTGCATCTGCAGGGAGGGACCGCGCCTGGCCGGCGGGGGGTGACGCTGGGGCGTGGCTTCGGCCGAGCCGCCGCTCCGGGCTCTGCGCAGTGTCCACTTTGGTCGCTGGCGGGGGGCACGGCCGGTCGCTGGTCGCTGCTGCGGCGGCAAGGAGAACAGGCCAGCAGACAGGGTCTCCATGCCTGGCTTGTTGGCTCATTACACCACCCAAGGAACTTGCGAAAGGCGTTGAAACTGAGAGGCGCGGTGGCCCTCCCCAACCAATTCGAGGGGGGCTATTGTGAGGCCTCTCCTCCCAGACTCATGACCCCTTCTCGAGCTCCCCTGTGGCCCAAGCTTTCCCGCTCCCCGTGGTCAGTGTTTTACGTGCAGAATGAGAGGCCACTCTGCTCTTAAAGAGGCTACAGCTGCAGCTTCCACTGAGCTGCCCACCCACCACCCCCATCCTGCTGGACAGCTGGGCACCGTAATATTCTCATTTGCTCACTCTTCTCCACCTCTGATGTCCAGTTTCCCCCCCTGGGCCTGCCATCACCTCCCCAGAGGTCCCTGATTCATCTTGACCCTATGTGATCCACTCCCCACATACAAAATAGGAAGCAGCCTCTTCCCTGCTTAACACTCCCCCCACCCGGCTCCCCAGTGCTCCGGGAGAAAGTCCGTTCTCTTCTGGGCCGCTGGCCAGATCTTGGTAACCTGGCCCCCACTGAGGTCTCTCCAGCTTAGCGACCCCCTTCCTCCAGGACAGTCAGGGCCACATCCACTGTCACTTCCAGACTGCCCTGTCCCACCTGTGGCTCTTCAGTCCACTCTCCTCCTGGCCACCCCTCACTCATCTTCTAAGTCTCACCTTAGACATCACCTCTTCCTTCCCTAACACACCCCCCAGCCCACATATAAGGTGGTCAGTTAGGGTTGCCCCAGTCCCTTCCGTTCCCCATTGCAGCTGGCTGTGTTGCATCAGCCCAGGTACTTCTCTCCACTGCCACCCACTCTCACACTGCCCCATTTTTTGTGCTTGGTGACTCGCACACATGTCCGCAGCCACCTTAGAGCAGGCCTTGATATGTTCACCATGAATCCCCAGAGGCTACAACAGTGTGTGGGGCACATAAATGGCACTCGGGGGCCAGGCGTGGTGGCTCACGCCTGTAATCCCAGCACTTTGGGAGGCCAAGGCAGGTGGATCACTTGAGGCCAAGAGTTCGAGACCAGCCTGGCCAATCTCTACTAAGAATACAAAAATTAGCCGGGCATGGTTGGTGGGCATCTGTAGTCCCAGCTACTCGGGAGGCTGAAGCGGGAGGATCGCTTGAACCCAGGAGGCGGAGGTTGCAGTGAGTTGAGATCACACCACTGTACTCCAGCCTCAATGACAGAGTGAGACCCTGTCTCAAAAAATAAAAATAAATGGCATTTGGGGAACAGTTGTTGGATGAATGAAAGGCAACTCATCCTGCCAGCGGGTGCTGATCAGCCCACCTTACAGAGAAGGAAACTGAGGCTGGATGAGGCTCAGTATTGGCAGCTGGAAGGTGGCAGTGCAGCAATAGAGCCCATGTCCCTAAGACTGAGACCAAAGCCCTCTTGGCTATGCAGTGTGGTCCTTGGACCAGCGTCATCAGCAGCCTCACCCAGGAGCTGGCTAAAATGCAGAGCCTCAGCACCGCCCAGACCTCCTGAATCTGAACAGGCCTTTTAACTAGATCCCAGGTGCTGGGCACGTGAGGGAGAGTCTGAGAAAGGCTGCTGTCTCACTTCCGAGGACAGGCTGCTGGGAGTGTGTGTGGAGACTGGGACAAGCCCCAAACGGGGGCCTGCCACCCTGCTTTCCACAAAGAAAATGGCCAGGCACAGTGGCTCATGCGTGTAATCCCAGCACTGGCCAACATGGTGAAACACCATCTCTAATAAAAATACAAAAAAATTAGCTGGGCATGGTGGCACACGCCTGTAATCCCAGCTACCTGGGAGGCTGAGGCAGGAGAATCACGAGCATGGGATTGAACCCGGGAGGCGAAGGTTGCAGTGAGCTGAGATCGTGCCACTGCACAACAGTCTGGGCAACAGAGCGACTCTGTCTCAAAAAAAGAAGAAAAGAAAAGAAAGAAAAAGAAAAGAAAGAAAAGAAAAGAGAGAAAGAGAAAGATAAAGAAAGAAAGAAAGGAAGAAAAAGAAAGAAAGGAAGAAAAAGAAAGAAAAAGAAAAACGGGAGGCCCCGAGGTTGGGGTTGGGAATGGCATGGGGGATGGGCTGTGCATCCAGATGCAGACCCCAGGGCTCCCTGGGCACCCTGCCCCACCCACCTTCCGCCTCTGCTCCTCCTCCTCCTGCATCTTCAGCTGCAGCTTGCGCACCATCACCTGGCGCTTCCACTCGGGGATGGGCCGGCCCTGCTCATCGTGCGTGGGGATGAGCGCCTCCACGTCCAGCTGCACGCCCGGCGCAGGAGTAGTGGGCGGCACCGGAACCAAGCTTCCATTGAGCAGCGGCTGAAACCCCGCAGCTGGCGGTGTGGGGCTCCGGACTGGTGACAGTGCAGGTGACACAGACGGCAGCGGTGAATCGGGCTGCAGGGAGAAGCGGTGGGGCTGAGCGCCCGGTGGCCTGGGGCCAGGGAAGCCGGGTCGCAGGCTCCTGCCAGGCCCGCCTACCTGGAAGGCTGGCTGCCCGCTGCCTGAGAACACTGTGGTCAGCCCCTTGCTTTGCGGCGTAGGCTTCAGGCTCTTGCCAGCCTTAATCTCAGCCAGTAGCTCCGAGTTGTCGCCCGTCGGGGACATCATGTTGAAAGACTTGGTGCCTATGCAGAGGCAGGAGATGAGGCACTGGCCAGGGTGGGGCTGCATCCCTGCCACCCCTCACCCGCCCCTCTGCAGCCCCCTTCCCAAGCCAAGATTGGCTGGGTGCCCATCCTCGGCCCCAGCAGGCAGCTCTCCAGATCCCAGGTCCCACAGGCTGCTTTCAGGGCCCCCAGAGGCGGGCCCTTGGTTCCCCGACTGTGACAACCCCACTATCCTCCCCACCCTACTCACGGGGTGGAGGGCCCCCGCCTGGAGGACCCTGGGAGTTCATGGTGGCTCTTGGGCATATGTCCCCGCCCAGCCACTGACTGCCCAGCTCCAAAACAATACCTGGAATCAGCCACCCGACCTTTGTCCCAGGTTCCCTGGCTCAGCCTGGCTGGGGTGGAGCCTCCCTCTGGCCCTCTCCCTACATCAGCAAAGCCTCAGTGACCCTTGAACTGAGTCAATTGGGGCCTCCATGGACATACAGAGTCCGGACCCTGGAGTGTCAGTACCCACCTGGTCCCCTCCCTCCCCACCACACCCACAGACAGACGCACAAGCAGACACATTGTTTGCAAGCCGGGAGCATATTTATGGCAAAGCGAGGCTCAGCTCTAGGGGCCCAGGAAAGCAGGGCCCTTACTGAGGCTACGGCAGGCACCCAGGAAGAAGGGCAGGTGGGTAATATGCAAATACACAGGGCAGAGGGTGCATTTTCCAGCTTAGCCGGAGGAGGCAAATGGAGATTTGGAGAGAGGTCTCTTGAGCCCCGATGAAGGGGTCAGGTCCGGGAGGGAGGAACAAAATGGGCTGACAGCTCTTGGATTCCCAGACTGGGCATCCCAGAGTACAGTCACAGGGAGGAAAAAGAGGAGAAAGGGAAAATCGGTGTGGCTGGCTCATTTATTTAGGCAAAACCACCAGCCAGGCGCAGAATGCTTAGGTGCGTATGTGGGTATGAGGGTAGGTATGAGGTGCAAGGGCCCACCCATGCATCGAGTTTCTCTCGCCTGCCAGCCCCTGCCCTTTCCTCGAGTCTGGGCCCCTCCTGCCTTGCTTTTCCTGCCTCTTCCCCCCACCCCGCGCCTCAGCCTCAGCCAGGAGCCGCGCACGAAGCTACTCACTCTTCCTGTGCCTCAGGACTCTCACTTCTAGGGACCAAGAGGAGAGAAGTGACAGTGGAGTTAGGAGGGAGAGGGGGCCAGGATGAGACTGGGACAGCAGGGGACAGGGAGCGGGCCAGGGAGAGCGGGGAGGGGGGAGTGGAGAAGAGAGGAGGAGCTTTTCTGCCCATCTGGCTCTGGCCCCGGCTGCTCTGGGGCCTCATGAGGGTGGTCCATCGAGTTCCCGGCTTGGCTGGTGCCCCTGAGGGCTGGACAGGGCCACCACTGGCTCTAGCCCCTAGCAAGGGCCTCCACCTTGGCACTGGGTTGTGGTAGGGCACCCAGCCCTGGCTGTGCTGGGTGGGGGTGTCTGGGGAAGTCCAGAGTATTTTTCTCTGCCCTTAGCTTCAGCCCTGCTGCAGGCTGTGGAGGGAAGGAGGAGGAGGCTCGGCAGGTGCTGGACATGCTTCCATGGGCTCTGGTGTGCAGGGGCTGGGGCTCCACAGGAACCGTAGGGGGACAAGCTCTGCTCTGCACTCCTAATCAGGGAGACAAAGCTTTGGAGGGTGCCACTAAGCATGATCTCTGCCCTGAGTGGCTGGGTGAGGAAGGCATCCCAGCCAGGCTGAGATGGGAGCACCACATCTAGACACCCTGTCCTGGGCCTTCTAGGTATCCTGGCAGGGGGACACTGTCCCACCCTACAGAAAAGCAGCCCAGGAATCCTGCACCAGTCTAGCTCTTAAAAAAGGATGCCTAGGGAAGTCACCGGGGAGGGAGGGGAAAACATTGCCCCCATAGCCAGGCCCCGGGTGGCCCAGGGCCCCTGGCAGGAACTGGCTAGGAAGAGTTGCTGGCATATCTAAGAAGGCTTCAGGTCTGTGCTGCTTGGAAGGACAAGAGAAAGACATGGAGAGAGGAAGAGAGGCTCAGGATAGAGGGGGCGGGGGAAGAGTGGCCAGCTGCAGGGCCTCTCTGAAGTTGGTTCTACTTCAAGTGTTCCTCCAGCACCAGCCCATTGGAAACGCCAGCGCCAGAGCTGGGAGACCCTTTCTAGCCGGTGGGAGGCAGGCCCAGAGAGGGGAGGGGACTTGCCCAGGCCACACAGCTAGGGGGTGGGAGGCAGGCCCAGACTGGGGAGGGGACTTGCCCCAGGAGCACAGCCTGGTCCTGCTTTGGCAGGACCTCGAGCAACCCAGAGCCCTCTCTTAGGGTCAAGTACTCAATGGGGTAGGGGTGGCCGGAAGAGCATGTAGAAGAGGAAGGACCCGGGCAGTGACAGCTGGGGAGGGGGCGGTGTCTAGATTTCCCTCCCCTTTCAGGGCTAGCGCCGCCCCCCACCCCTCAACCTGCTCCTACTCACTGCCGGTGGACGAAGAGGAGCGGCGCTGCCCGCAGCTAGGGCCAGCGCCCTCGAGGGGCAGAGGCGGGGCCGGTGGCAGCGAACTCGCGGCCTCGGGCAGGGGCGGCGGGGGCGGCGGGGGCGGCGGTGGCAGCTCCCTGGACGCCTTGGGGTCCGCGGCACAGCCGTTAGGCACGTGGTTCCCTGGGAGCAGCGCCGCCTGCGGGGGAGCAGAGGGGCCTTCGAGTGAGCCGCGGACGGCAGGGCCAAGGCGCGGGCAGCCGGCGGGCGCGGGCTGGCAGGCACGCACCTCCTCGCTGTGCGCCATGCCTGGACGTGCGGCCAGCGTCTCGCCCGGGCAGCGGCCCAGCTGCCGGTAGTAGTCCCCCGTGCTGGGCTGCTTGCTGAAGGCGCGGGGCTTGCGGCCGGAGTCCTGCCTCCGCAGCCCGTCGTGGCCGTCGCAGGAGCTTGGCTGCGGGAAGACAGTGACCGGTGGGGCTCGGGCACCTGCCGGGTAGGCGCCCCCCACGCCTCCCCACCCAGCCGTTCACCTCCTGGGGACTCGCGGCCAGCGGCCGTCGAGGGGTGCAGCAGCCGTCTTCCTACATCCCCTGTTCTCAGGGCGGGCACGGGGAGAGGGTCATGGGGGTGTCGGTGGAAGGGCAGGCTCCGCCCGCCTTACAGGGAGGGGTTCTGGGCACCGGCCAAGGGGCACAGGGGCCCCCACTGAGGCCAGAAGGGGCGGGCCCAGGGGCGGGGTGGCCCAGCCCCGACGCCAGGGGGAGCTGGAGAAGGGGCACCTCCCGGTTTAGCCCTCACTAGGCCCTTGGCCGCACCCCGCTCTCGGCTGTCAGACGGACTGCGGGTCCCCAGGGCTCCGCGGAGCCCAGTCTTTCGGGGTCCCGGGCCGGAGGGAGCCCCCTCCAGAGCCTGTGCTCTCCGAGGCTCCGGCTTGCCCCGGACCCCGGTTGCCCATCCGGGGGCTGCTCCTACCTGCCACGGTGCTGGTGGCCCCCGCTGTGCACCTGGCGGCGGGGGCGGCAGGACCCGACACCTGCGTTACCTGATACTTCCTCTCAGGTTACAGCCGCCCGCACACGGCAGCCTATGGGCTCCGACAGCCTGACATCACCCGGGGCCCGCCAATCCCAGGCCGAACCCCCCAGCCGTCGCGGATACCACGGGGGCGCCAACTACCTTGCCACACCTGGCCGCAGCTCTGCACCCGCCCCAGGCCAGATGTGACCCCGCCCCCTGCGCCTCTCCCTAAGCTGGGAGCTGAGCCCCCACCTTCATCCCCGCCGGAGACGGGAGAGGGCTGATCCTGGGCAGAGGGGGCCTCTCATATTTGGCCCCCGGCTCCGGGTCGCGTCCCCCTGCTTCCCCTCCTGCATCTGGAAACCATCCCCATCCGAAAGCGACACCGACACCCGCGCTCAAGCCTCGGGTTTCAGGGGCCGTAAGGCGGGGTCGGGTGACAGCGTGGCTTCCCGCCCCGTCGCAGCTGCCCCCAAATAGGCCCAGCTCAGTGAGGGAGAGTGAGGCGGCCCGGCCAAAGACTGAGTGACGGAGTGGGGGCTGTCCCCTGCCCCACTCTCCAGCCCCTGCGTCCCTGAGGTGGCCTCAGACCCTTCACCCCGCCCGACCTGGCTCACGTTGCAGGAAACGCGACACCGCAGGATTTGTTTTCTGGGCCAGCCCGCCCGCTCCGCGCCCCCTGCAGCCCCGAGGCTCGGACGCCACGACCCTGCTCCCGCCCTCGGTCAGGCACCCGCGCGGGGGGCGCCGCGGCCACACAAAGAGCCCTTTGTGGAGTGTCCGGGTCCCGGCCCTGGCGCCTGCGGCCCAGCACGCACACAGCCGGGAGGGACGCACACAGCCGGGAGGGGCGCACACAGCCGGGAGGGGCGCACACAGCCGGGAGGGGCACACACAGCCGGGAGGGGCACACACAGCCGGGAGGGGCGCACTGAGCCGGGAGGGAGGCACACACCCGGGACGGGCTCACACAGCCAGGAGGGGACCACGCAGACCTGGCACTTGGGCTCACCGGTGGAGAGGGGACACTGGCTGGGCCACCTGTCCTGTGGCTTTGGGCGGGGCCCACAGGCTGGGCTGGGAGCTCAGCGATTCCAGGGCCCCTGCAGCCCTACCTGGCCGGCCCCCTCTGCCTCCCAGAGATGAAAGGGGAAGCCACTGTGGGAGCTTGGTCTAAGGTAGCATGAAGAGGGCAGCCACTGGAGCTGGCCTGCAGGTTTGGTGTCCCTCCCATGCCTCCCTTGCCCAGTGGCCTTGTGACCTGGGTCACCTTGTATAAACTGGCCCTGGGGTGGCTTGCCTTTGGCTTAAGAGAGAAATGCAAGGTCCCAGGCTCCAGCAGGACCCCAGAGCGCTGCCACACCACATCTGGCCACCTGTGACCTCAGGCTGTCCCCTCACCTCTCAGGCCATCCTTGCTCTGTTCCTGTGGCCAGAATGCCAGTGTTCCCCAGGTCACCCTGCCCAAGATTCCCAGAATTGCTCAGACCAGACCTCTGCCCCCACTCCTGCTCCAGAGCCTCAGCCAGGGGCCTGCAGCCCCCAGACATCCCTAGGTGCCTCACACTCCACCTGCCTGCCCTGGCCTCATCCTCTCCACACAGGCTCTGCTTCCCTCCAGGGCTCCCAGCTCAGGCCTGGCCCTTTCCCCCAGGATCTCGAGCCCTAAACTGGAACTAGCCACAGCTTCACTTCCTCCCAGCCCCCACTGCCGGTGGGCACCCAGCCCTGCTAGTGCCTGCTCACCTTCCCCCCACACTCCTTCCAGCCCTCACCTCCACAGCCATGCCACCGGCACCTTCCACCTGGCAGCCACCTCCCTTGGGTAACACTCTCTGACTGAGCCTGGGGCTGTGGGGGTGGTGGGGGCATGCTTGGGGAGGGGCAGTCTCCATGAATTCTCTGTCAACTTCATGACAACCCAGCCACTCTGTGCAAGAGGTGGCACAGGCCCAATTCCTGGTGAGACACAGCTGTCTGGACCTGCGTCCTTCACCCCCCAGCTCCCATGGAGGGCGGTGACCTGCTCTTACTCTCCTCCCAGTCCAGTGTCCAGCCCTGACCCCTCATGGGACTCGCCAGGAGCTTTGACTCTTGAACATGCCATGGACCTAGGGACCCCCACCCTATGCCCACTAGTGAGGCCAGGCCTTTGGCCTCACTGGCCCCGATCGGCCTAGTCCCCCTGCTGGAAGGCAGGCAGGGGGTGAGGGCTCACTACCTCCTTCTTGAGGGCCTCCGTCTGCACGTGGCGGAGTTTGTTCTTCGTCTGCATGTAGATGTCAGCTGCCTGTGGTCCCACAGGAGGCTTGGGAGCTGGGTAGCCAGGTGGGGGTGGGGGCAGTTGGGTGCCTGGGGGCGGGGGTGGCGGGGGAAAGCTGGGTGGGGGTGGTGGGGGTGTGGGCTTCCCGATCATGCCCCGAGGCAGGCCCAGCTCCGGGTTCAGCATGTCCATGTAGCTCTGTATGTCTGTAGCTCTAGTGCTGGAAAGCTCTGGGGAGGCAGAAGAAAGGGCCAGATTTGGGAGCTTGCGGACAGGCTGTTCCCCAAGACAGACTCTCCACCACCTGGAAACAACTTGCCGAGGGCCACAGTGGGCTCCAGGGCACCACTTGGTACACTTGCTGTGGCCCCTGGCGGTGCTGGGCCTCCTCTCCCTGGCCCTGCCCTGCCCCAGTCCAGCCCTTATTGGGGGAAGATCAGGCACCCTGGTTTGGAGGGGAAGCACCGAGGCTTTGGTGTGTCTAGAGGGTAGGGTCACCTGGAAGGGAAGGGCCTACTCCTTGGGAGTACGGATGGCCACATCTAGTCTTTGCAGGGCACCCCTCCCGGGGCTGGAGGCCACCATCTGGCGGCGTAAACCAGGCATTGCAAGTGGACAGACGCCCATGCTCAGGGCATGGTCAGGGTGTGTGTACACACATGCCTGCAGTCTGCTGAGGCGACTGTGCATTTGTGTGTGTTTGAGTGTGTATGCATTTGTGCACGTGCTTCTTTGTACTGATGAATTTGTGTGCATTGCCCTGTGGACATGGTTGTGTGTGTGTGTGCATATCTGTAGTATGGAAATAGAGCATTGTGTGCTTGTGTATAAGATGGATGTGTGCAGATATTAGCATGGCTCTGTGTGTGTGTTCATATTTGTAGGCTGTTTGTACACATGTACAAGCGTGTGCTTTTGTGTGTGAGTAGCTGAGAATAATGAATGGTGGGCGGCACACGTGGATTTTGTGTGTGGGGAGAGTACATGTGGATGTACACCTGTGTTTGTGATGAGCACACACACGCATGAGTGACATCTGTTTCTCAGCAGAAGGGGTGTCTCCTCCCCATGTTTAAGAGCAAGCGATGAGGGTAGTCTCTGACATTGGCTGTGGCAGGGTGGCCCAAGGCCAACCCTCACAGCCTAGTGGTCTGGCTTCAGTCTGCTCTCCCTCCCCCTCTTCCTCCTTGGGCACACTCACCGCGTGGAGGGTGCTGGCCCTTGATGCTGGAGTGGCTGGAGGAGCAGGAGTCATAGTTGGAGAGGGTGCTGGTGGGCGAGCTGAGGTCAAAGTTCAGTGGCTGGACTGACACCGTGGTGTTGGGTGAGGACATGCCTGAATCCAGCTGCTTCGCCTCCAGCTCTGCGGATGGATCCCGGGAGAGCACGCGGTGCTCCACGCTCTGAAGGGGAGGCAGGGAAGCCATGAAGGCAAGTGCTCCCCAAGATGTGTTGCTCTCCAGGCTAGGGTCCCACTCAGCCACGCCTTCACTGTGGGATCTCGGTCAAGCCACACCCCTCTCCGGGGTCTCTTCTGCATCACTGGAGGGTCTCTCAGGTTCCTCCAAGTTAAGATTCAAGCCCAGCCCCGCCAGGCAGCAGGACCCAGGTTCCTGGGAAACTCCCTCGCCTGGCTCCTCCCTGATTAGGAGGGTGGAGAGATCGACGAGGAAGGGGCCTTGAGCTGCACCCCAAGGGGAGAACTGCCAGGAGATCGGCCTTCTCCCTTAAGGATCAGAGGCTCCATGGGGAGGCGCACAGCACAGGCCCATCCCTAGTTATCCGGCTGGCAAGCTAGCGCTCCTTGCCGGACCTGGGACCTGGGGCAGACTCCCAACACCAGCCCGGCCTATCTCCTGATGGGGCCCTTGGGGTAAGGGTGGGGCCTGGGTAGCCAGCTGAGCAGTGATGGGCAGCCAGAGCTCAGGCTGCCAGGCCTGCCATTCCCCCGCCCTGCTGGGTCTGTGCCTCTGACCACAGGCCTGTCCCCTCCCGGTGCAGAGGGGGATGGGGTGGGGGCCCTGCTTACATTGCCCATGCTGCCCCTGCTGCCGGCAAGCCCGCTTGCTCCGCTGCCTCCTACCCAGGCGTACTCCTCCTTGCCCCGTGCCCCCTCCCTGCCTAAGAAGTGTCACAGGCCCCCTGGGAGAGAGAGGCAGGCCTGGCACCAGGTAACGGCTCGGCGGCTGCGCTCATTGGCCCCGTAATTAGGGGCTCTGTGGGAGTGTTTGCCTTTTCTGGGCCAGCATCTTCTGTGGCTTGGATCTGTCACTGCCGAAGCTGGGCCTGCTTGGGTGAGAGAACCAGGGCACACACCCCCCACCCATTCCAGGGGACCAGGCCCAGCTGCCTACCCCAGGAGTCAGGGGAGCTATAGGAGGTGGCTTGGGCAGCACCCAAAGGTGCTCTTTACCTGGCCAACAGCAGTGGGTGCTGAGGGCACCAAGCCCTGACCCCTGTAGGCAGCAGATAAGAGGCTGAGCCACAGCAGGTGTACTGCATCTGCCCTGAGTCACCCAGCTCTGCAGTCTGGGACAGTGGCTTCAAACTTCCCCTCCCCCACTTACTAGCTGTGTCATTTCGGGTGAGTCACCTATGCTTTTTGTGCCTAAGTTTCTTCATCTGCAAATGGGGATAACAGCACTACTTGCCCTGCTGAGCTCCAGGACATGGCACCCAGCAAATGACATATAGTCAACTATTTTTTTTAGACGGAGTTTCATTCTTGTTGCCCAGGCTGGAGTGTGGTGGTGTAGTCTCGGCTCACTGCAACCTCCACCTCCCAGGTTCAAGCAATTCTCCTGCCTCAGCCTCCTAAGTAGTTGGAATTACAGGTGCCCACCACCACACCCAGCTAATTTTTGTATTTTTAGTAGAGATGGGGTTTCATCATGTTGACCAGGCTGGCCTCGAACCCTGACCTCAGGTGATCCACCCACCTCAGCTTCCTAAAGTGCAGGCATGAGCCACCATGCCTAGCCTGTCAACTTTTTTTTTGAGATGGAATCTTGCTCTGTCACCAGGCTGGAGTGCAGTGGCGCAATCTTGGCTCACAGCAACCTCCGCCTCCTGGGTTCAAGTGATTCTCCTGCCTCTGCCTCCTGAGTAGCTGGGACTACAGGTGTATGCTACCACACCTGGCTAAATATTTTTTGTATTTTTAGTAGAGATGGGGTGTCACCATGTTGGCCAGGATGGTCTCGATCTGTTGACCTCGTGATCCGCCCGCCTCAGCCTCCCAAAGTGCTGGGATTACAGGCGTGAGCCGCCGTGCCTGGCCTAAGCCACCGCACCCAACCAACTATATATATATCTATATATCTATACATCTATATATATTTTTTTTTTGAGATGGAGTCTCGCTCTGTGGCCCAGGCTGGAGTGCAGTGGCCGAATCTCAGCTCACTGCAAGCTCTGCCTCCCAGGTTCACGCTGTTCTCCTGCCTCAGCCTCCTGAGTAGCTGGGACTACATTTTTGTATTTTTTAGTAGAGACGGGGTTTCACCGTGTTAGCCAGGATGGTCTCGATCTCCTGACCTCGTGATCCACCCGTTTCGGCCTCCCAAAGTGCTGGGATTACAGGCTTGAGCCACCGCGCCCGGCCTATATTTTTTAATGTACTGTGAAGAGTAACTGAGATTACACCTTTAAGGCACTCGGCAGGGTACCTGCCTAAGTCAGAATCCAATGAGTGGTGTTTGCTGTCCTATGACCACTAGCAGTTGCATCCAGAGAGGCCCTCAGGTGCCCTGGGCCCTAGTGCCACCCCACGGTCCCTCAACAGAGTCACAGACTCTCTTAGCTAAGGGATACCCACCATTGATGCAGCAAAGCCCTTCCCAGTGTCCATCCTGGCTTATATACCCTAGTGACAGGGTGCTCACTACCTGCTGGGCCACTCATTCTCTTCCGGAGACTCTTTCTGGGGCGGAAGTTCATCCTCAGGCCCGCCTGCAGCCTCTGGCCTTTGGGCCTTGCTGTGTTCTGCAGCCCCCAGAGCCAGGACCATCCCCCTGTGCTGGCAGGGAGGGCAGATGCACCAAAGGTGCTCAGGGCACAGACCATCTGCCTTCTTCCCTCCGGGCCTCATTTCACAGACCCTCCATGGCCAGGCTGCCCCATGGAGTTAGTTCACATCCTTTTGGGGTTGGCTGCGAGGCCCACTCTCCTCCCTGCCTGTTGCCTCAAAGCAGGCATTGTACCAGCTGGTGCAGAGCCCTGCACTTGGAGACATCCACAGCTGAGTTCAAGTCCCAGCCGGTCACTTCATGGCTGTCTCACCATAATAACATAATTTAAAAAGAGTAGCATGGGTTTCCAGTTATGAACCAGCCGTGAAGTCAGCAAATGTACAGTGCAGGGGCTGAGAGGTGGCTCCTGGCCAGGCCATCGAGGCAGGTTCTCCACTCTACCCCTTACTGGTAATGTGATCTTGGTGCCCCGCAGACTCAGTTTATCCATATGTGGAACGGGACACTTACACTGTCTTCTGCAGAGGTGGCTGTGAGTTATACCCAAGCTAATGTCTATGGGCGGGTGAATGAGCCTAACTGTTCCCAATGGGGCCTGTCTTGTGATTTCTCCAGCCTTACCCCTTGGGGTGACCCTGTTCTTCCCTGTCCTCTTTCTGTTAACCTTTGTGCCTCTAATCCCTCAGTCCCCAGTAGGCAGTGGTTCTGGGCTGAGAGGTCGTGTGGGGTAGTGGGCTTCCCGTCCCTGAACCGCAGCTTCCTCCTTGGTAAAAAGGGGTGACGACACCCACCACTGGGGTGGAGGGGCGAGAAGAGAGAATGCTACAGGAGCAGCGCAGGGATCGTACCAGGTTCTCCACAGTGCGCAGGTAGCGGGTGCAGTGGCTGTGGCCGTTGAAGTCCGACAGGTCGGCGGCCGTGTACCCGTCGCGGTCGCGGACGTCCAGCTCCGCGCCATTTACTACCAGGATCTGGCAGCACTGCGGGGGCACGCATTGAGGACCCGGCCCCGGCCAGGAGCTGGGACCCCCACACCCGGGCAGGGCCATGCCGAGAGCGCGGTGCCAGCAGAGGGCGCGCGCCCCAATCCCGGGCCCGCGCTGACCTCTAGCTCCCCGTTCTCGGCGGCGTCGTGCAGTGGGGTCCCGCCCCACAGGTCAGCCGAGATCTCCCCGCCGTGCAGCAGCAGCCAGCTGAGCACCTTGGTGTGGCCGCGGCTCGCCGCGAAGTGCATGGCGGTGGCGCCGTCTTTGTCCTGCTCCGACAGGCTCACGTCGGTGCAGCTCACCTGGGCAGGAAGGGCGGGGAGAGAGGGGCGGGGGCTGGGCGCCAGGCCCCTGCGGGCCCCGCCCCCTACCCCACCCCTCTTCTACTAAAAATACAAAAAATTAGCCAGGCGTGTGGCGCATCGGCCTGTAATCCCCTGCTACTCAGGAGGCTGAGCAGAAGAATCGCTTTGAACTCGGGAGCAGAGGTTGAGTGAGCCAAGATCAAGCACTGCACTCCAGCCTGGGCGACAGAGCTAGATTTCATCTCAAAAAAAAAAAAAAAAAAAAAGTGGGACTGAGGGGCAGGGCAGTGCTGGTCGGACGCTCTCAGGCGCCTCTGAGGGAGGGTGGCAGACAAGTGCAGGGGAAGCCTCAGGGGCGGCACGCGGGCCGTGAGCAGGGCGCGCGGTTCTCCTACCCACTCTCCTTGACGTTCAGGGGCTCCGGGAGGGGGCGGAAGGAGGCTCGGAGAGGGTGATGGCGCTGAAGGGCCCAACGTGGGCACTGTGCTCTCCTCAGGGAGTGAAGGCCCAAACCAAGACACGGTGCCACCCCGTACTGGCGGGCGAGGGCCACTGGAGTGAGGCAGTGACTGGCAGGAATGCGGCCGCGGCCCGCCACGCGCGCGCCTCGAGCGGCATGACCGCTGGCACT